ATCAACTAATCAAGCAACCAATTAGTAAGAAATCAGTCAATCGTTCGATCAGTCGGTTAGTGAAGTAACCAGTCAGTTAAACAGTCAGTCAGTCAGTAATTCGATCAACTAATCAAGCAACCAATAAGCCAAAAATCAGCCAATCGTTTGATATGTTTTTAGTGAAGTAACCAGTCAGATAAACAGTTAATCAGTCAGTAATTTACTCAACTAATTAAGCAACTAATTAGTCAAACAATAACTGCGTACGTTGAGCTTGGAGACAGTAAGATGGCTGCTGCATTCGGTGTCCAAAGCGGATTCTCGAGTCAGCAGAGGTGCAGCACTGATAGCTCCATGCGCAAACTAGAGATCATGCCCGTGCAGCATAATCCCTCCTTCAGCCTGCCTTGTTTACTCTAACGAAAAAATAACATTTGGAACAATTCGTGCGGTAGAAAGTGCCGGATGAGAAGAGCAGTGCTTTATCTGTCCGCCTGTCGGAGCTTCCCTCCTAGACCAGTAGCCCTACAAGGCAAAGGGCCTTGCCTGCCCTGTCATAATATTGAAGTCCCTGAAGTTCCATAAGGATAACGCAACTCTAAAACGTTAAAGTCGTAAGGATCGACTTTGTTGCACCGAGGGCGCCGCGCAGAGCACGAACTCCCCAGCTCCGGCGAAGATCCCCAGGGATCTCCGTAACAGTTGCATCCGTGAACTGAAAAGCGCAGCCATAAAACAAACCCACAACCTTTAGAGCGCGAGGCAAACCAGCGCAACTCTAATCCCCAAAAAGTGAAGAAGATATAAAGGAATCAATGAGCAAACAAGATTTGTAACAATTAAAAGCTAGATTCAGCATTGCATTCAAACTTTGAGCTTTCAAAAACTCGTAATAGTTCCCCGCAGCAGGCAAACAAGTGTTCATGTTTTAGGTGAGATTGTTGCAGGCAGACAACGACCCACCTGCTAAAACTCAGGCTGGGATCGCGACACCAAGATCACACAGCAGCTGTTGCCAGGGTAGGCCGACGGTTACTTAATGAGGTAGACAGCACATGGGCCCGACACCCGGAGATTTAGAATGACTTGACTTACCTGTGATCTGTGAGAAACATTCTCCGTCGAGTTTTGGCGTGTACCTGACCGGAGATTTATGACCAGGGCCCTAGCCTGGGAATCTCGCTGTTCCCATGTCTCGTCCAGCTGTGCCATGATCTATATCCGGTGATTTCTTCCCATGTCTCGTCCAGCTGTGCCATGATCTATATCCGGTGATTTCTTTCACTGATTGTTCTGTTTTATCATCTTCTTTTTTGCGTTTACCAGCTGTAAATTCTGGTGGAAAGTTCTGGTTGTTCGTCCGCTTCTGGACTGCAGTCCTGTTCCAGAACCTGAGTGTTGCGTGTGTCTCCGTTTGAAAAATCTGACACACTTGTGTGCAAGACTGTTAGTTCCCTGCCTCTCACCCATATGCACTTCGACTTTGAAGGAAGCCCCCAATTAGTCGACTCTTACGACATGCTTTTGGACAGGCAATGGGTCTATTATTGTTTTCCATAATTATAGGGCCCCGGAACCCACACGGGGGTCCTGTTTTATGTTGTAGTTGTTCTCGCGTCGTTTCGATCTGTTGTTCTTGGTTGTCTGATTGCAGTGATTGTCGCACAATAGATTGTGATAGATCTGTGGTCATTTCCAACTGTATTGCAATTTCTGTCACTGGTTGTCTAACTTCACATCGTGTTTGTTGTTCTGTCGTTTCAACCAGTTGATCTATATCCGGTGATTTCTGTTACTGATTGTCCAACTTTACATTGTGTTTGTTGTTCTGTCGTTTCAACCAGTTGATCTATATCCGGTGATTTCTGTTACTGATTGTCTAACTTTACATTGTGTTTGTTGTTCTGTCGTTTCAACCAGTTGATCTATATCCGGTGATTTCTGTTACTGATAGTCCAACTTTACCTTGTGTTTGTTGTTCCTTGTTTCGACCGGTTGATCTATATCCGGTGATTTATTTCATGGATTGTCCAACTTTATGCTGTTTTTTTTTCTCTCTTGTTTATCTATTTCCGATAATTATCGGTCGTTAAACTTAACGTCAAAAGCAGCTTTATCTTTTTGTTTAGTTACTGCCCTTGCAAGCTACATATTTTTCTGATGCGAATTCATTTCCAGTGTTCTCACTTGTGCTGATATATGGATTTTTTTTCCGAGATACCTAAGTTAAGGGAATGTATATTCTTGTTTATAATTGTAACTTTGTTTGTTCATGTCATGTGCTGATGCAACCTTCCTATCCGCAACGTTCTCTTGTCGTTAATATGTGTGTGTGTGTGTGTGTGATAGTATTAAGCCGACTAGTTCTAGGTTTCTTTCTGGTTGATTTCTTTCCGTGATACTTAAACTTCTAGTAATCTTTTATACGAACTTTTCTTTCTATTTTGTGTGTGTGTGTGTGTGTGTGTGTGTGTGTGTGTGTAAATTGTCGCGCTGTAGACTGGCCTCTTCGGACTCTTATGCAGCTGCTGCCCTCTGACTTGACAAGAATGACCCCTAATCAGTCGACGTTTGCGACATGCTTTTTAGGCAGAGACCCCACCCCCCCAATCGCCCCCCCCTTCACCCTCCACCATAATAGGGCCTCTGAAGTCACATGCGGAACACCTCAAGGAAATTCCAGAAAGCCCGCTTAGACGTAGCATAGTTATATAATGGCACGCCCACGATTACGCGATAATCTGCAGACTATTGGGGGGGGGGGGGGGGGGAGGAGTCTTAAGATTAATTGTCTTCCTATAGCTGAACGTAGTAGTACTGTCTGGAAATACGAAAGTTTGCAAACGACCGCATAAACCGATCTTGTAAAATGTGCAACTTTGATATCCTCGGGGATCATTTAAATCGTCATCGCCTTTTGTCTGTCTTGGCAAGTTCAGGGCACCGCGACCAGCTCGTTAAGACGAACCCTTGAACAAAACTGCTTTTGTAGTTTCAATATGTCATTTGTGTTTTTCTTCCTCGGTAATTATCTGCTCTGGTTGTTTACTTACGTCCCCTGCCATCGTTTGGCCCACTTACCGTCAGGCATCGATTATCGCTGATTCCAGCAATAGCCAACATCCTGGGTGGAAGAGAAATCTCCCGGCACTTACAGCTCGTAACCACAGGAACATTATTTGATTAGGCGACGTTGTTATTACCCTTCATCATGTTCTATTTACAGGATTAGGGCCTTTTGTGACAAGTGTGTGGTTTGCTGAACACTTTCAGTGTATTTTTTAAGGTGCGCTTTATGTCGAGTTACCGAGGCATATCGCGAGGGTTGTGAATATTTTTTAAAGGCCTGCGATCTGTTGTGTGATGTCCTAATGTAATATCTGCCCCTGTGACATCAGTGACCAAAAGGGAATGGGAAAAGCAAGACAGAAATGCAATCAAATTGCTGCTTGTACTATCGTTATCGAGATTCTTTGCTGGCTGCTGACGGAGCGTTTGTGGTAATGTCCCATGATGTCATTTCATAGCCAAGCACTCACTAAATAAACTTAATACACTCAAGGAAAGCAAAGAACAGCAACGTTCCAATTTAGCATGTCACACTAAAGTGACACTGAAATGAGAAACAGATGGATTGAGGAAACCAGGACCTACAAGAGAAACCCTAAGTCGAACGTTATTAAGATCGAAGGTGAGGGCCCTGGAGTAGATTCCATCCATGATATCAAGAGGATTGCACAGGATAGACCGAAATGGATCGATCGATGGGTTCCCCCTCCCCCTACGAGCTACTATCTAAATGTTTACCATGCCATCCTGGACCAACAAAGCAGATCCCAGATACCCCGTTAAAACTCTAAAGAAGGTATAATTATCGCAGCAGTAGCGGGTTCCTGTGTGTGAGTGAGGAAGGACCACGGCCAGCTTCAGCAGTATGGTGAGCACAGACCAGCCATGGACCGGTCTAACAAAACGGGAATTTCCGTAGACCTGTTCGGCCTCACTGCTGAAGCTGGCCTTGGGCAGGACTAGACCACTGGCCCTGTGTGATACTACGAGATGATGCTGATGGTGAACTTATTACAGGGGAAGGGGGGAGGGGGGTTAGGTGTTCCAGAAGAGGAGACTAAGAGAGAAGATGTTGCGGTAAATCTGGTTTTGTTTTAACTCACCCTAAATACGGGGAATCATATGAGGATGTTACGGTTTGAAATGAACACCAACTGTGACCCTAATCATCCCATAATTTCACCGTGTTTGGGGTGTAATAAATATTAAGAACCTAGGCCTGTGTGTAGCTGCATCAACAGTGGTCGCCCCCTTAAAATATAACCACACAACACTGGAACCAGTCAAGAGCGGGCTTCCAAAGCTCAATCGATGTTAGGAGAAAGAAATTCTTTCAAGGAGAAAGGCGCCTTCCCTATCAGGGTGGATCACGTGACTGCCAGTATAAGTAGCCCTGACGTTACGAGCCTGCGCAGGCATGCAGTCGGAAAACCGGCCATGTGTGCAGGAGAGTAGATGGAGAAGTGCATGTCAGTGTGTCGTCGCGCTTGAGTGCAATCTGGGCTCATTTGATGCGTGCCAAGACTGGATTCTTGGCTGGAGAAAGGATACATTTGTGCCATGATGTTGATTCGTCGCCTAAACCTAAAGGTTTCTTCTCTTCAGTCTGTCTGTTTGTTGTCTGTTTTTTCCCGGGCTAAATTTGGAGTAAAAAATCTACCCAAAGTATTTCAGGATCCTCGCCGGTGTTACGGAGTTCATGCACTGTGCTGAGATGCTTCGGACTAGGGCTGGAGTTAGAAGTAGAACGGGGCAATTATAGGTTCTACACTTGTGCCATGATGTTGATCCGTTGTTTAAACTCAAACCTAGAGGTTTCTGTTCAGTTTGTCTGTTTGCTATTTGCTTGTCTGTTGGTTTATCCACTCCCCCATCGACTCCATGACCAACAACTACGGATATAGTAAGAATGAATCCAGCGTTGACTGTCTACGATTTGTCTTTTCCAGGTGCCACCCGCGAGATTGGCTCAGCCCTCACCCGACTGTGCATGAGGCATCGTAGCATCGAAACTCACCTGAAGGCGCTAACCAGGTGAGCTTGTCTACGTGTCTGTCTGCACACCTGTAACCAGGTTGTTATATGGTGTGTAATGAAATGCGAATGCTTGAGTTTGTCAAATCGGCGGTTTTTGTTGTTGTTCAGGCTCACATTAAGTACACAAGGCATTCCCCCAAGGCGGAAATTTCAGGTTGTTTGTCCACCTCCGGACTCTAGTCTTTTCCCAGAACTGAGTATTGCGTGCACATCTGTTTAACGGATCTGACTTAATTGAATGCAGATTGTTGATTTGTCTCTCAGGCAGATGCACTCCGGCTTCGAGGAAACTGCCCCCCCCCCCCCCACCCCATCCCCAAATAATCGACTCTTACAACGTGCTTTGAGGGAAGACAGTGGGTCTGTTCTTGTTTTCCCTACAATGGGACCCAGGAACCCACACAGGTAAACAAAGACCTAATAAAGAAAATCACATATTTCGACAGATGTCAGAAGTTTTTGCCAGAAAGAAAAAAATCACACATGTAAATATTGACGACAAAGAACACACCGTCAGCACTACAGTGTTGTTTACCAGTTTTGTGTTACCATGCCAAACACAGACATTGACGATGAAAGAAAAAAGAAAAACCGAAGCAACAGAAAGGAAATGTAACTAGAAAAACGGAATCAGAATTGATTATATTAGGAAAGACGTTGTGCCGGAACCGAAAGACGACAGATAAAATGGTTCGGACATGTGTCAGGACCAGACAGTGTACCACAGAGAGCCCTGTCAGACATAATGGAGGCAACTCTCCCTCTGCTATCATCTAAGACAATCTGTGCTAGGCCCGGGATTTTTGTTACAGACCAGTCGGCTCTTCACGGGTTGCCTGACCAACATCACGCCGGCCGCCTTCATTTCCCATTACATTTACTAGTACCAATGTTAAGCTAGAACAACCTGCGAGCCTTAGTTAAAATATACAATACCACATCAATGCTGATTCGAGCCCAGAATCTTAAAGCCGGAAAGCTAGTGTCCAGCAGCTTAACCGCAGCGGCCGGTGCAAAATTTAATAAGACTACAACTCGTAGTGGAACTCTGTGTTGGCTGCTAAAGATTAGGACAAAGCGTCTGTGGGAATACTACTGGATATTTTGATGTCGGTTCTTAACTCCTGCATGACGTAACCCTCGACTTATCACTAGGAGCGTGTAATCACCTGCAGCATCGGCCGTGGTAGAAAATGTCGACGATGATAGTAATGATGATGTAAATAGCGATGATGATGTAGTAGCAGCAGCAGAACAAATCCAACATTGGTGGAAGTGGTGATAGTAGAAGTAGTAGTGGTGGTTGGAGCAGCAGCAACAGTAGTAGTAGTAGTAGTAGTAGCAGCATCAGCAGCAGCAGCATTGGTGGTGGTAGAAGTAGTAGTAGTAGTAGTAAAAGTTATAGTAGCTGTGGTGGTGTTAGTAGTAGTAGAAGTGGTGGTGGTGGTAGGAGCAGTAGTAGTAGCAGCAGCATCAAAAGTAATAGTGGTGGTTGTAGAAGTAGTAATAGTTATAGTAGCAGTAGTGGTAGTAATGGTGGTGGTGGTAGTAGTAGTAGTAGTAGCAGCAGCATCAACAGTAACAGTGGTGGTTGTAGAAGTAGTAATAGTTATAGTAGCAGTAGTGGTAGTAATGGTGGTGGTGGTAGGAGCAGTAGTAGTAGCAGCAGCATCAAAAGTAATAGTGGTGGTTGTAGAAGTAGTAATAGTTATAGTAGCAGTAGTGGTAGTAATGGTGGTGGTGAGTTGTAGTAGTAGTATGCAACGCGCGTGTGTTATTGCAGCCTTTAGCATCTGTACTTTGCCAGGTTTTCCGAATGACATGGTATACATATATGTGCCAAACACTTTGTGCGTCGACTCCCAGTTAATCTGTCGATAGCTAATTAAATAATTAACTGCGAATTGTATATCTACATGATCAAACCTTCTCTTTTTTAGTTTGTATTGTTATTTGTTGGCAGAGAAGTGCAATCTTGTCCTGTGTTGTATATTTCTTGACGTGCTAACTGTAGACTAGAGTTGTTTCTCATCTGTGGCTTCTGTTTAGCCCTAGGGGGAAATTCATCTTTGCTGTCTTGTGCCAAATTGAGCCAACACTTTCTGTTTTGCAAGTTTGGATGAAATATTTCTTGTGTTTAAACTTTCTTTGCCATGTCTAAATATTGTTATAGTTTCTAAACTTCCTCTCCCGTGTCTAAACGTTCTCTCTTGTAGCTAAACTTTCTCTCTTATATCTATTGTCCACCTCTCTTGTGGCTAACTTTTTATGTGGCTCAGATTTCTTGCTTAAATATGTCAACTGTATCTCTTTCTCTTTTAACTATACTTTCTCTTTTGTGTCTAAAGCTTCTCTTTTAAACTCTAAACTTTCCCTTAGTGTCTAATATTTCACGGTTTAATCTAATACACGCCTGTTTAAACACGACCCGGACGTCGTGTGGAGCTGATTAAAACAGCTTGAGAACCATCGACGGGATGTATTTTCTGTTAGCCAGATTGTTGCCAGCGGGTGAAACTAGAGATCGCTGCACTAACTACGGTAAATTACGCTGACAGTGATTCATGCTGAGCCAAAAGAGTGTGGGATTTGACCTGTCTAATGTGGCTGTAGAAGGCCAACATGGTACAGAATTAGAAACTAGCAATCGTAATAATCTCTCCTAAGTAGGTAGGTAGGTAGGTCGGTGCTTTGCTTGGGGGAGGTTGGGGGGTGCAACCAGCATTTCGAGGATGGAGCTTGAGGTTATAATTGTGACTAGGTTATATGCGCTATATAAAATGGCTTAGCACTGCACGCCACTCAGAGCCATGAAACGGACTCCTGCTATGTTGATGCGATCAGAGGATACACACACTGTCCCCACCGGCGACGAAGACGTCTACCGGCGAGCCAGTGGGTGAACCAGTCGCCCATGAACCTCTCCTCGTTCTGTTCTGTTGTTAATCATCGCAAGCTTCCTGGTGTGACTTGCATATAAAATAATAATAATAATAATAATAATAATAAAAATAATAATAACAAATAATATAATAATAATAATAAATATATTTAGTGTTGAAGATCAAGTACTTTGCCATGTGGCACATAATTATGTGGTATGTCTTTACTTTTAAAGTTGTCTGAAGTTTGGCAGATAATTTATAACTTAAAAAAAAAAAAACCCGCAGATTAGTTTGTGTGTTTGTTTTGTTTTATTTATTTTGTTTTAATGAACGCACATGCTGTCAGGTGCCCATATAAGAGAAGACCAGACATAGAGGGATAGACAGCATTAACAACCGGTTGAACGTGGTCATATTGTTGTGGCCTTTCTTCGCCCTTGCAGATTGGAATTGGACCAGACAGAACAAACGTGGGTGTGTGTTCTGTTTTAAATATCACACGCCACCTGGTGTAAAACGTATATAATAATAATCATCATCATCATAGCAGCAGCAGTAATCATCGTCGTAGTAGTAGCAATAGCAGCAGCAGCAGTTGTAGTAATAATAATATGAATAGTAATAATAATAATTATTGTAATTTTACTTGGTAATGAAGAATTAATACTGTGCCCTCTGGCACATGTTTGTGTGGTTTCTCGTGACTTTTGACAATTTTTGACAAACGCTTATGTGGGTATGTTGAGCCCTGATTTGATGGCCGCTCACTGTCCATCTGCAGTTCTATACTAGACAACCTGGTGGCGCCTCTGCAGGACAAGCTGGAAGACTGGAAGAAGGCCGTAGTGCAGCTGGACAAGGACCACTCCAAAGGTAGGGACGAGTTATCTGGTTGTCGTTGTTTGTTCAAAAATGAAATGTACACTCAGACTTGCCTATAGTTGGTCTTACCTGTTTGTATATTTTTATTCTAAATCTGGTGTCTTTACATTGCTGCATTTGTCTGTCAGTATATTTGATGCCCCTCTCTGTGTGTTTTGCCTGTGTTTGTTTCTTCTTCTTCTATTTCTTCTTCTTCTTCTTCTTCTTCTTCTTCTTCTTCTTCTTCTTCTTCTTCTTCTTCTTCTTCTTCTTCTTCTTCTTCTTCTTCTCTTCTTCTTCTTCTCTTCTTCTTCTTCTCTTCTTCTTCTTCTTCTTCTTCTTCTTCTTCTTCTTCTTTCTTCTTCTTCTTCTTCTTCTTCTTCTCCTCCTTCTCCTTCTTCTTCTTCTTCTTTCTTCCTTCTTCTTCTTTTCTTCTTTCTTCCTTCTTCTTCTTCTTCTTCTTCTTCTTCTTCTTCTTCGCTTCTTCTTTCTTCTTCTTCTTCTTTCTTCTTCTTTTTCTGCGGCAGCGGCTGCTGCTGCTGCTCTTTTCTTTTCATCCTTCCTTCTCCTCCTCCTTTTCCCGCCTCCTTTTTTTTCGTGCTCTTTCTTCCTCCTTCTTCTTCCTTCTTCTCCTTCATCATTATCACCTTGATGTCTTAACTAAAGCAGCTATCTACTATTATGATTCTAACCCTTTTCATCGTATTGTGTGTGTAAAGAACAAGTGAGCATATGTGGTTGTGTGTGTGAGTCACTATTCTGTTTAAAATCTCACTAGGATATCTAAATGTGGTCTTGTGTTGCATTTTATTTTGGTTCGATAGAAAGCAAAAAGGCCAAGCAGGATATCAAAAAAGCAGCCTCGGATACCATACGACTACAGAAGAAAGTCCGCAAAGGATCAACGCATGGTGAGTGGCTGTGTTCTGTTAGTTACGTTGTGTTTTTGTGTCCTACACCAGTGTTCTTCAACTGGATGGCTGAGGCACGGATGAGTCACGAGAATGACCTTGTGGATCGCCAACGATTTATACCCCGTCTTGTAGCCAATAGGTGACTGGGACACTACATTGTTGTGTAGTAAGACTTTATACGCCTCACTTTGATCAGATTATCGGACAACTAATTTTGTGACATTGGATTTATCTATATTTGTTGATGATTCTATGTTTCGTTAGCTGTCAGTGGTTTGCCAAACGATTCCCCGTGTTCTTTCAGTCTCAGATTGTAAAAGGGCTGAAGAACACTGATCTGCCACTGCTAGTGAAAGGGCCAATCATTAGGAATGTGTTTCATACAGGTGAACCAGCAACTCTGCAATAAGGACGCATTTGGTATCTATTTTTACCCGCCTGGGTCCTCAGACCCATTTTGGGGTAAAATAAATAGATCTACCACCCCCCCCCCCGCCCACAAGCATGTCCTTAAAGGCTACTAATTATGCATATTTAGTTCGAAATCAGAGTGCATCAGCTCCTGAGGCGAGGGATTCAGAGTCTGCTAACTCATAAGCAAGATATGTAAAATAGATGTGCATCTCAAACTCAAGTTCTGGGACATGATCAAAGATGAGAAGTGGTTGAGCAACCAGAACTTTCCACCGGAGTTTGCAGCCAGTGAACGCGAAGAAGGAGGAGCAGGAGAAGAAAAAGAAGAAGTAGAAGTAGGAGAAGAAGAAGAAGGAAGAAAAAACAAAGAAGAAGAACAAAAAGAAAAAGAAGAAGAAGAAGACGTATCCAGCTTTTGAAATCGCAACGTTGGTTACAATAGTGGTTTGATCTTCCCGCGCGTGATAACTCCCGGAAGCAGATAACAGAGTTGATATTTGCTACTTGATAGTAAAATATGGTCGTTATCTGGTACAGTTGTAAAATTGTACACACTCCCACTGGCTTGTGGAAACATCCGTAACACCCGGCGATTTCCGCGTACGGATTATGTTATTGTTTAAAGTGCTATAAAGCGGTCTTTATTATCTGCATTTGTCGCCATGTTGTAGCGGGTAGACGCTTGCCTACGAATCCAAAGGTCGTGGGTTGAAGCGAGCTGGACCTCATTTAAAAATGACCTCAGCTCTCTGGTCGACCCAGTCTGACATGGATACAGGTAAAGTCCTGGGAAGTAGAGGTGGCTGGCCGGATGTTGATTACATTATCCATGGAGTATCGATTGGTGTATAAAATATAGGTCTAGCCTTATATGCCTGGTAAGCCGAAAATAACTTATCATTAAAATTAAAGTTTTAGAGATTGCCAAATAGGCAGTCTAATTTAGTGTTGGTTCTGTAGCCCTATTGTGGGGGGAAAAGGGGGGGGGGGGGAAACAAAAATATTGCTTCCATCACCAGCATGTTGTAGGTGTCTACCACTTAGGGGATTTCTTCGACGTCGGAGTGCATCAGTCCGTTAAGGCAAGGAACCAACAGCCTGCATACAGTAAGGTCAGACCTGTATGCCGGGTGCAGATGCAATTCCTAAGTCCTTGAACAATGTCAAAGTCTGGAAATGGACGAACAACCAGGACTTTTCGCTAGGGTTTACAACTGGTCAACGCGGAAAAGTAAAAGTTTTTCTTTTAATCCAAAACTCCCCCCCCCCCCCCCCCCACATCTTTAATACAGTAATTCCTTTTTGGATTGAACTGAGTTGGGTTGAATCAAGACGGACATCACATTACAGCGCTGGATCGAGGCATTCCATAAGCGCCCCGTCCCTATATTCAGCAGCCAGCGCAGAGTTCCAGTACCAGTGGCGCTAGTAACAATCCGATAAAACGTCCATCTTGCCTTTCCTCCGAGCGTCGAGTGTAGGCCAGAATCACTGGTCACTCCCCGCTGCATCACTCTTGCCAGATTGTGGTGATCCTTGAGCTCCTCCGTTCATCTACAAGGCCGAACAACATCTGCCTTATTATGCATCAGTATTCCGCCAAGTTGTGCAGAGCCAGCCAGTCTACCCGCCTGTTCATTTCCTAACACACCGGCTTGCTCCGGAAAAAGGACCCAGACAGCGCTCCTCCCTTGGCCTCTGAAGCGAAGCATGCTACTCTGGAGGTAGCATGTACATGTTCTCACCTTCCTCGGCATGCTTTCTGTGACAATCAAGATGTGTGTGTACTCGTGCGTGCGTGTGGTGTTTCCTTGTAAGCAGAATATCCTCCCTCCCCCTCTCCAGACCCAAATACATTAATGTATTGCCTCCCTTGGTACACTGTTGTGCCTTTTGCTTGATAATTGATTTCTTGCCGTGACACATCACGCTCATCTTTCTCCACAATACAGTATTCTCCCATCTTTCCGTCATCACCTCTACCTGTTTACTTATATGCATTTCATTTGCGAGCGTTGACCCCGCCGAGGCGTCACCCTTCTAGCGCTCTCATCGTATCAGATAACTCCTTGTAGTGTATGTTCCTGACCGCACTCCGCTGTTAATCTAAGGCTCTTACCGAAATCCCCGCATTTGTGTTCTAGTAGAGTTGCCTGTCATCCTTTTGTGTGTATCAACGAGTCCCAACCCGGTGGAACCAGTGTCTATATTGCTTGCCCCCCCCCCCTTTAAATTGACTGTCCCATTTCGTGTTTATCCGAGGCATTTTAATCCCAGGCTGTTAGTTTCTCCCATTAAACGGCACGCGAGAAGCGGCTGCCCGGACGATTAAGAACAGTGTGCTGTCATGTTGGAAATCGAGGTTCAAATCTCTGTGCAGGTTGTGGATATTTTGTGTGTGTGTGTCGGGGTGGGGGGATACAATTTTTTAACCTGCACAGTTCGTGGCGACAGCACTAGCCATGCGGCCATAAATCCTAAGGTTCAAAGACACCGCCACCCCTCCCTCCTCTGCCCAACGACAGTTTTAAACACCAAATGATTCTGCAGGGTCTTATGGCTCTAATGCGATGACAAGTGCGACTAGCAGTAATGTTTCCAAGAGTAATTAAATTAGGGCTAGGGTAAAGCTCCCCCTCTCCACAGCCTGGGCTGTATTATGGAAACCAAGTGTTGCGTATGGAGCACCACTGCCCAACAGTGAAAGAGGGAGGTGAGGAGAAAAAGAGAAACAACAAGAAGAAGAAGGGGGGGGGGTTCAGAAGAAGAAGAATAAGGTTGAATAGAAGAAGAAGAAGTAGAACAAGAAAAAGAATGTTGAGGAGGGAGAAAAAAGTAATTAAGAGGAAGAGGAGGCTCCCCTCTCCACAGCCTGGCTGAGAAGAAGAACCAAGTGTTGAGGATGAAGAATCACTGCCAACAGTGAAAGAGAATGTTGAGGAGGAGAAAAAAGTAGAAGAGGAGGAGGAGGAGGGGGTGGGTGAAGAAGAAGAATAAGGTTGAGGAGAAAAGAAGAAAGAACAAGAAAGAGAATGTTGAGGAGGAGAAAAAGAAGAAGGCGCAGGAGGAAGTGGTGGTGGAGAAGAGAAGGAAAGGAAAGCGGAATATCAGTATAATTTCTACTAAGTATATATTTTAATTTCTTAAAAATTCCACCTTGGAATTCCATCCAACAACTACTGACCGAGCCAACAGTCGAGGGCACTAGATACCAATTGACCTACATCTGAGAACGGGACTGTACCAGACGAAGACGAAAGACGATACGTTCACTAATTGCCATGTTATAACAGACTTGTCACTAGCCGACAGACTCTCACAGACATCGCTGGCACATCTCTGCGTGCTTTCCCAGTTGCCAAGAATAAACTCCGCCACTTCTACAGCATCCATCTGTCGGTACATCCTCCTTGCATGTCAGTCAAGTCAGCGGAAAACAACAACAGTCGCCTATATGGCTGAGAGTTCACGGAGTACTGATTGGCTTCAATAATATACCGACATAATGTATAGTACAGTGCAGTAGGTGCTGTGTTTTTACATTCGTTTTATTTCTTTGTGCGGTCTTTGTTAGTTCTATCTCTTCCTTCTCCTCGTATCTCTTTCTCTCTTCTATTTTTGTCTCTCTCCTCCTTCCCGCCTTTCCTTCTGGGTCAAAGTTTGTTGCGTCCCTTTGCAGGGCCTTGCAGAACCAACCTAGGCAATGTTTAACAGTTTGCCATTGCCTTTTTAACGGTGGGCGGATATTGATACCTCTGTCGAAGTCAAAGCAGTTTCGGTCTTCTGTCAAATAGATCGCATCTGGAATTAAACTGGATAGCCTCGGAATTACGAAGCAGGTTCGCAACGCCTAAACCACAGATGCAGACCTGCGATATCTTGTACTTAGTTCTGAAAACTGTCTATTACCTAAATCACTAAGTGCCGTCCCAATACTGGAGGCAGTTTTTCGTTATTTGAAAGCCCCACTCCGGCTGTTTCCGGGGCCCTAATAACATAGCTTGAACGGGGTTTCTGGGACCTCTCCCCGGATAATCCTCATTCGAATAGCGGCACTTTGTGTCACCGGAAATTTAACACTCGTTGTGATGTCCTGGTGGGGTTGCACGTCAATCAATCAATCAATTATTACCTAATTAGAAAATACGTGACGACCCAAAAGATAATAAGTGGTGAGAATATATTATCCTTGCCGCTGTTATAAGACAGAGTTAGTGCCCTTTTACAGGACGTTGCAGACCAAACCTCCCAGCCTTTCTTGCGGTTTTTGTAGGCATATTTTACGTTCAGTAGTTTGCCATTGCTTCCTGGACGGTCAGCTCTTAATACCACTGTCGAAAAAAAAGGCAAGATAGTCTGCTGCCAGATCGCCTGCAGCTGGGATCCAACCTGGCACCCCAGCATTACTAAGCGCGTTAGAAATGCCTCAACCACAGATTTATAAAAGAAAAAATGTTCCGTCGTCTGCTAAAAATCATATGTTGAAAGGCGACTCATTAAACGTTTGAGGTAATCCGAAGTGTTGACCGAAAGGCGCATATATCGCAGCCCATCTGTAAACAACAGTAGCCCCATGTGCCACCCAAA